TGCCCCCCTCCCACCTTCTCACCTGGTTACAACTATACAGCACATCAGTATGGCTAACTGTGTGGAGTTTATAGTAGGAAATGGCAGGTTCTCCAAATTTCTTAAGGAAGAAATTATATACATTCATACCAGTCAGCACTCCTCAATGATCATTATGATGGATTTATACTTTAAATGCTTGCATCATTTCATCTAACTTAATAATTCTTAAGAACAAAAGAATTTTAAAGTTGAAGACTTAGTGTTATAAAATAACATCATCCCGAAATTAAGTGACCCCATGGGTCTCCCCAGAAATTCTAAATATGGGAGAGGTGCTCCCTAATCAGTTGATGAAAAATCAGCAAATTTTCATGAAAATACTAACTTAAGGGAAAAACCCTAAAACCTGAACATTTTGGGAGAAGTGCTAGGATTTTGGGGAGAGGGGGGAGCACCCTTGCTTCATTGCTTGGGGAGAGCCCTGATCCCAGAGGGTCAATCCCAAACGAAAACTATGATGTCATCCGTGCAGCCATCTTTGGCCCATAACTCACTCAGCCTGCAGTAATGATGGCATTTGTCACAGGCATTACCACATACGTGTCACTTACAATTCGCTTACTAAAGAATTCTGACACCTTCTACAGGAACTCTTTCTGAACCGAAACACTTACAATTTACTATGCATCTAGGTTTTTTCTGTATTATTTTTATGTCTGTAGAGTCTTGTATTATTTTAAATTGACTGTTTTATGGTGTTTTTTTACCTGAAATAAATAATAAAGAAAAGAATTCTACATGCCAGGAATTTTCAACACTGACAACACTTTCACTCACACTAGATTAGCAAAATTTTGGATTAACTTCTAGATTAAAAAAATTTCCATAAACTATAACAATAACCTATTTGTTTACGAGTATATAAAGAAATACAAGAAATCTGTAACAAAATACATGTATCCACATATCACTCAAATGTGGCAGATTTTCCCCAATGCTAATATATTTCCATCCTTCCACCCAATTAAGTGATGAGGTCAGCATATGAAATTTTATTCTAATTAGCGCCGTACAGCCGCAGGGTTATTGATGATGTATGTGTAGTTAGTGGCTGCAGGGCACCGATGATATCAGGCAACGCTCCCGTAAAATTAGCCACATAATGCTTATCTATGGGCTACAGTTGGGGATATATAGTATATTACTGACTGGACTAAAGTATATTGGTAAGATATATGATGATAAAATATACCATCATTTACTATATATTTTATGTGTACTCTTCAGAAATGTCTAACATTCAATATGACATACATGTGTAATGCTTATCTATAGGCTACAGTTGGTGATATATACTGACTGGACTAATATGATGATGACAAATATACCACAACATCGTCCTCTTCGTAAATGTCTGTAACATTGGAATGATAGGAGCCATAAAATAATGATCAACATACCAGGCTGCTTGTGATTCAAACAAAGAATTTCATACTGATCAAACCAGTCTGCATTGATAGATGGAAAAACTGTAGTAACAACTATGAAGAGAGATTATTCTTTCAACTGCTGGAGCCAAAATATGAGCATTTTTGTTTCTTGATTCTGAACCTGAAATGTTTTTTTTTTCACGAATCAGAAAAAAGAAGAGGACAAATCCATGAACCAACTAAATATATTGGTGTGGCCTTACATAGAAACAAAACATGAACCAAGCTCTAGGCTCTAAGAAAAGAGGAGATTCCTTCATACAGAAACCTGATAAGCAGATAATTGCACTTAAAGACTTTCCCGGCTCAACGGATTCTGCGAAGAAGCCTCCAATATTCAGGGCCTGAAGATAAGACTTAAGTTTATCGGCTCAGAATCTTAAAGTTGTCAACATCTCTGCGAGTTAGGACGTCATCCTGACATCACCAAAGATGCGGGGATTCCAGTCTGACCAGATAAGGGCACAGATTTCACTTATAACCTACAGGAAGGCTGCTAGCCTGGGTACCAGACACACACTGGGCCCAGAGCTAGGAAATCTTAACAAGTTTGTTTTATGTAAGGCCTTAAAATCACTTCTGGTCACTAAGCTAGTTGTTGGGAGATATAGGGGACTAGGCTGTATATAGGAGGTGTCAGTGAACGTTGGTTTTGCATGTATTTGGGTGCCACTTTTTGGAGATAGAGCTGACCATAATTCTACAACCCACGGAAAGAAGCTACAGCATAATATTGTTACTGTACAAGGAGTAAACTTTAAACAGTGAGCTACTTAATCATATATATATATATATATATATATATA